CGCCCTCAAAAGCAAATGGTTTGAAGAGAAGGGCAAATGTGTTTGTAAATAGCGGTTCCCCTTCTCCACAGTCACAGCAGTTGTCTAAGCGATCGTTCAATTGATTCATGTTTTCTATTATTGTCTTTTTATAACAATCTTATAACGAATCGCATCAATAAATGAGACAAATAAACACAAATATATGTATTGTTTCAAAATTGAAATAAAATTATTGAATTTGTTATAAATTAGCTCTCATTGTATTTCATTGTTATGTTTTGTGTGACATAAGAGTGATGTTAACGTTAAATAAAATCATATTTTTCTCATCATTTAAAATGCAAATGAATTTAGTGTTCATAATAACCACAATCTATAAGTTTATGCCAATTAATTGCAAACTATTTAAAGATAGAAATGTAAAATCAATTGATTACTACTTCTATCCATTAAATAAAGTTTTCAATTCAAATAACCTTTCATTTTATTTGGATAGAGAAAGGATTAAATATATTTCACTTATTTTATCGTTAATTGTGTTAATAATAATGAGTATATTCTCGTGTTTTATCTGTTATTATATCTATTTTAAACGACAATCAAATAACACATCAAAAGTGGTCACTCTATCGGAAGGAAATGATCGACACTCGAGGGCTACTCACAAATAAATGTCACACTCGGGTCTCAATAGTAAACAATTTGCTAATAACATAAGTTACAATTTATGGTATATTTATATTGATTCTGTATTTTAGGGATAAAATGTGTCAAAACACAAATGAAATACATAAAAATCAAACATTACTTAAAATGAAAAACATTAATAGAGAATAAGTAATTGAATCCAAATTATTTGATGCGAAAATTTATTCAAAATTAAACACAGAAATAACAATTCCAAGAGTTTGTTGTCAATGTTTTTTCATTTTACAAAATAACTAAAGTTTTATTATGGTAAATTTGAGACATTTATGAAGAATACAATTATTTTAGTGGTTTATTATTTTAGTTTAAAATAGTATTTTAATTCAATAACTTAAAAGCCATTTCCGATTACATTCTTTAGTAACTGTAGTGCGGACTCGGGTTTGTCGTGTGGGACCATATGTCCGGCCCCGCGAACCAACACAAAACTTAGGTTCTTCTCGTATTTCTGTGCAAAACCAGCCAAAGTTCCGTCAGATGTCTTCCACCCGCTGTTATCACACAAATTATTGCATTAATTTGCAATCAATTAATAATATTGTAATTATTTTATTCAATAGATTGTGTCATACCTATAATGTCCAACTTTTTTAAGTCCCAAACTATCGACAAACCGTTGATTATCGATGTGATCGCACATCGTATCAAAATTGCCGTTAAATACAACAATTTTTCCGATTTTAAATACATTTAACAACTGATCAAAAGTTTTGCGTTGATCTGTAGGCGAACCCGAATAACTGCCCCCACAATCACTCCACTGATGGGTGTCTTCAGGCCTTACGTGCAATGCTTTGCGCACTTCAGGTATATTTAGGTAGTCTTCGTATCCATTGTGCGGACACTTCTTGTTAGCATTGGTTGAGACAATCGGTGGTCTATTGAGACGTTTTGCGTAGTGTTTATTATAAAGCCTAACATATGCGGCGTCGGGACCGCAATCGTCGTACATGTTGTATGGGTTGGGAGGCGACACCTCTTCCACTTTAACTGATCCACATCGTCTGTTATATACAATGATATCATAGGCAATGATAATAAGTAAATTGTGTTTAACTTTTAACTATTATATATAATGTTTTTACAATGTATATAAAATATAAAGACTTACGTATCGTTGACGGGATGCCAGAAATCGCATTCACGCATAATCTCTCCGGTCTTACATTCACAACAATTCTCAATGAGTTTCTCATAAGAATCGGTAGTAATTAATCCGTGGCCCAGATTTAAGTCATAACTAGACATATAGGTAAGAGGAGCGATACCCAGATCACCATTTCCTATGGCAATACCTAATGTGCAAAAATTTAAGGTACAATTATTTATTTAAAATGAAAGTATAAAATGCCGTTAAATACCTTTGAGATTAATAGTAGATTTGGTTTTGAATATCTGTTGCGCTAACATTGGTATATAAATTCCGGCATAACTTTCACCAGAAATATAAAATGGATTTTTCTTTAGATCCGGAAATTTCTTGAAAAACGCTTCGAGAGCTAAATGATTGTCAACTGCTGTCGACTGATCCGTATTGTTATACTTCTTGTCCTCTTTATAACTGAAGCCGACACTAACGGGTGATTCAAAGTAAACCACATTCGCCACTGAATTCCAAGAGTTCGGGTTTAATGTCAATGTCTTTCCGTCTGAATTGACTCGAAAGGGTCCGTTCTCTCCGAGGTTTCCAAACAGTGAACTACAACCGGGCCCTCCATTCAACCACAACACTACCGGTGCGCTCTCCGG